CCCAGGATGCAAATAATCAACTCCTTTAAAAAATCCAGTATTGTATTTTATACAGTTTTGTATAATGACTATTGACATTCAGAATTACAACCTGAGGTCCTGTGTCATCAATGGAGGATTCCATTCTAATCAGCCCCTATTTAGTGCCAAGTATATCTTACTGGGTTTTATTGTGTCATAGAGCTCCAGGCATGGACAAGTCCAGCCAGTTCTGACATGTTAGGGCCTGTTCAAAGGCCCGAAGGGATGGGCCCTCTAGTGCACTATTTCTATGAATAAACAAGGTAATTGTGAAAAGAAAAGCCAAAAGAGCACTATACCAGCTGCAAAAGGATTTCTCCCTGATGGAAGAGTTGAGTGTGTAAGTTTGAGAGGTAGATGAGGCTATTAGAGAAGACAGACTGTTGGCTTTATCTTGAAGAAATCATATGAAGTTATTCCTTCTAGGGCAGTGCCAGACATTTAGGAAGGTAGGGCCATGTGCTGGATATTTGATGTTTGTGGCCTCACCAGATTCACTTTCTATTTTTCCCCTCCCTGCTATAAACTCCAGAGCTGACCTTGAGGTCCCTCATGTTCTGCTTCTGGTTGGGTTTGCTTTAGGCATTGCTAGAAGACTGGTAGGAGAAAGCAGAGTAGGGTCAGTGTATTACTATCCTGGTTCCTTCCATGTCCTACTCTGGGAGTTTCTCTCAAGTATAGGTCATAGCTCTTCGGTATCCTTATTTGCCCCACTCTTGCTGTCTCTCCAGGTTCTCCACTGACTCCCTTTCTTGCCTCTTCAGACCTGGAGGTGATCATCTGTTACTCACCTTGGGGGTAATGCACTGTTCTTGTAGTTTCCTTATATACTGTCCACAACTCTAGCAAGAATCCTTTTACTAAACTTGCCTTAATTTTTCCAATTTGAGTGTTCTGTCTGTTTTCTGTTGGGACCCTGACTAATACAGGTGTGTAGTAATGAGGCAGTGAAATTAATGCTGTATCATTAAAAATTTGGTCAGAAACTGAGCACACACAATAGGAAAGCTCTGTGCCTTAATATGAACAGGAGAATCTGGGGGATATTAGGCCCTGGGCCCAGCCCTCCCAATAACCTGTTAGAAGTGATTAGAGCACTGTGACAATCTATCTAACTGTGGTCTTTTTAGATAGACTGGTTTGCTCAAATAAGGGCTCCCTAGATAGAAATATCAGGACAATAATGGTCTATTTCTGGATCTCTTTTAGACCATCCTCTATTTGCCTATTTTACTCAGTTTCTAATTTTTCATTCCTCAGCCTCCTTCACCTCTTCTTCTGACATGCCATTACAGTGCAGTATTTATTCTTAACCTACCTTTGATTAAAGTCAGTTTAGAGTGTTGTTTTAACTTTGACCTTGGGACCTCTTTAGGACACAATAATCACTATTCATAGTTAATGTGTGTTGTATTCTTGCTATGGCCAGGCATTTTAGTAGATGTTTTATATTCATAATTTTATTTCATCAACACTACAACATCATGATATAGGTATTATTATTTTCCCCACATTACAGCTGAGGAAGCTTGCATGATTAATAAGTAGTAGAGCTAGAACTTAAACTCAGGTCATCCTATGTGGGCAAACTGTGCTTTACTATTTGGCTCTTCACAGCATTGCTATAGGAAAACAAACCCACACCCTATGTGTGTGACTGGCCGAGCTTGTCGCTGGGAGGACACAGTGAAAGACTTCTCTGCAGCCACAATATATAGAATGTCATTAATAACATGGGAAAGTGGATAAAGGTGATGATTCGAGGATTGTACCAGGACTTCCCTTGCTTTGTGCTAGATGACAGGAATGGTTTGGGATGAAGTCCTGTATTTTTGCATATAAGTATTAAAATTTATTCATTTATTTCATTCAATACGCATTTTTAAAATCTACTATGGGCTAGATGCTAGGGATGCAGAAAAAGATATAATACAGTATTTGCCTTTGTAAGGCTTAAAACCAAGTGAAATAAATAAGTATGGGAATATGTAAATGTAATTTAATTCCTACAGATTTAAAGACTTCTTTTGATCTTGGTCATGAATGCAACTCTGTGAAGACTGTTTGAAAATAGGTATTCATGCCAACTATAAGGTCAATACTTCTATTTAGAGTGAAGTCTAAAATTGATAATGTATATGAGCAGTATATTAGTCAGGATACTCCAGAAAAACTGAACCAATAGGATGTATGTATACAGTACATAGAAAGATTCATTTGAAGGAATTGGTTGACATAATTATGGAGACTGGCAAGTGCAAAATCTGCAGAATGGCCTAGCAGGCTGGAGACCCGAAGAAGAGCTGACTCTACAGTTCAAGTCCAAAGGTTGTCTCCTGCAGCATTTCCTCTTGCTTGGGGGAGGTTAGTCTTTTGTTCTATCCAGGCCTTCAGCTGATTAGAGGAAGCATCATAGAGGGTAACTTACTTTATTCGAAGTCCACCAATTTAAATATTAGTCTCATCCAAAAACACCCTCATAGAAAATCCCAGAATAATGTATCTGGGTGCCACATATCTGGACACTATGGCCCAATCAAGTTGACACATAAAATTCACCATCACAAGAAGGCAGAAGGAGCCTCCGGAACCAACACAGTTAGGAAAAGCTGGGCTCTGGAGACTACATGACCATCTCACTTCTTCACCATGGGTTACAAGGACAGAACCAGTTGCCACTACTTGAATTAAGCAGAATAAACATGAAACCATGAAGTCAGGAGGAAAGCTAGATATGTCTCTGGCAAAGGATAACTTGCTAGGCTAGTTCTATGTCAAGGACCAAGTCATCATTTGTTTATTCATCCACTTTTACATTATTTTATTTATTTATTTAATACATTTTTATTGAAAAAGTACTAAATGCCAAGAACTTTGCAAGGTTCAGAAAACTAGCAGCTTTGCTAAGGATACAACATTAAATACAATGGATGCGGTTCTTGCCTTTATGGAGTATACTGATTTAGAGGCAAGATGGACAATAAACCAATAGTTGTTTAAATAATTACTTTATTATAATTCTAATAAGTGACGTTAAAAAAAGGGTATGGTACAATGAGAGGATATAACTAGTTAAAATAGCAGGCACTGAGAGCCATCATCAAACCTATTCCCTTGTGCTCTTGGGCACGTAAGTAATCTGTATTTTCCATCCCAAATGCAGACACATTTTTAGTTGGATATGACAATATAATTGAATTATAATCAATAAAATGTGAGCAAAAATAATATATGCCATTACACAGTCTAGCCTATAAAATTCTCCCTTATACAATATTCTGTGTTCTTTTTGCTTTGACTTGAAACATATGAACATGATGACCTTTGAACCTATGTGTTAAAAATGGCAGAACCACATATTGGAAGCAGATTGGCTCTCTGAAACACCACACAGAAGTCACCTACCAAACACCAGCATTGGACTATTACATGTGGAAAATAACTTTATATTGGCTTTAGCCACAGTGATGCTGATATTTGCTCATTATGAAGCTAGAATTGCAATAATTAATATAGAAACTAATTCTGAAGTTACGATGCAACATAAACTTGAAATGAGGTACTATCTACATATAACAAACATTTCAAATAGGTGACATTGACCTATCGGTAATAAGTTAGGCAACCGTAAAACTCTTAAAAGTTGGATAAATGAAGGCCCATTCTATGAATTTGACCAAATATTTGGTAAAGTTATTGGCTATGATAACTTGAAGGCAGAAAATGGACCTATTCAGCCTGTGGTTTCAGTTATTAATTGATGAGTGATTTTGTATACCAGGACATATATGACAATGTCTGGAGATATTTTTGTTTGTCATGACTAAGGTGGGGTGGTGCTATAAGCACAGAGTGGGTAGAGGCCAAGGATGCTGACAAATATCCCACAATGCACAGGATAGATGCCTAAAATGCTTAATTATCTGATCTAACATGTCAATAGTGTTGGGGTTGATAAATTATATTCTGGGGGATACAATTGGAAAAACTCAGAATAATCACAAATTGGTTTTCATTTCCACCTTTTACCAAGATGTTACTGGGAAAATAAAGCTAAATCCAGAAATAATTGGATAGTTGCCAGACAATAAGAGAATACTGAAAATGTTTGATTCTTTAAACAGTCCCACTTCAACCATGAACCATAATAGATGAAATCTAAAGAGGTTTTGAGTAACAGTGACTCATTTAGACAGAGCTCTGGAAGTACAGATTAAAGGTATGTGGCCTTCCTGCCCAAGTCTATGATTTCACTGGTCTCAAGATATCATCTATTAATGTGAAAGAGATTGCCTTGGAAGATGGAAAGCAAATATCTAAATTGGGCTTGAGAATTTTATCTAGGAAATAACCTTGGGCATAGTCACTAGAACATGGAACTGATTAGTAACTAGATTAAAAGCCTACCAAGGAGCCCAACAAGTATTTGAGGGAAAGGTATCGTCAAAGACATTTTCTTCGTTAGAGCATTAGTATTGCCTTAATGAGTAGTTACTTAGTGTGAAGGTTTTAAGGAAGTGTCTTTGTGGAAATTGCATTTAAGCTGAGTCCTTAAAAATGGAATAATCACCATGGTAAAGAAGTAAAACATTGTGTAGTTCTTGAAGTTAGGAACTGAATGAGAGCAAATATATTTGAGATACAGTAAATTGAAGGGAGCCTAATGAGAGAGAAGGACATTAGGTAAGGACAAGAACATACAGGGCTTAAAGGTTACAGAGAGGATTTGGGTAGCTTGTGTCTTTCTAGAAATTTGTTCATTTCATCCAGGTAACCTAATTTGTTGACATACAATTGCTCATAGCATTTCTTTATGATTATTTTAATTTTTCTTTTAGCAGTTTGAATATGTCATCCCACTGCTTTTGGCCTTCATAGCTTCTGATGAGGAATCAGCTGTTAGCATTATCGAGAGTCCCTGTTACATGAGTCGCTTTTCTTTTGCTCTTCTCAAGATTCTCTCTTTGTCTTTGACCCAGGTCTAGAAAAAAGAAGAATTACATGAAGATACGTGGAGACAACAACCTTTTGTAGCCAAGGGGAGAGGTTCAGAAGAAACAAAGCTTGCCGATACCTTAATCTTGGGGTCTAACATCCAGAACAGTGAGAAATAAATGTTATTTAAGCCACTCGGTCTGTGGTATTGGTGACAACAGTCCAAGCAGACTAATGCAAGCCCTGATACAGACTTTATGCAACTTAATTCTCCTTTCTCACTCATGATTTTCTCCTCTATAATAAACTCTAATTATCAGTGATGAAAATTAACTGTGTGAATGTGTACATTATTGTTTAAAGATGAGCAAAGAAAACCAACACCCTTGTTTTTGTTTAACGGATCTACTCATTTTTAAATGGAAATGTTTAAGCAGATGCAGATTTTTTTTTAACAAAATAAAATACTATCCTTTTCTCAGCTCTTTCAAAAAATACATACCTATTTTCTGAGGAGACATTTTCACTTGGTTGAATGATGTTTAATTCAGCTTTGCAAATAGCTCTTCACCCAGAATATTGCTAATGGTATGTGCAAATAGCAAAGAACACTCAATTTATTTTACTACCTTAGTTGGAAAACAAATTTAGTTAGTTACTTTACCTTTTGTTGTGTTTATTTGAAGCATTATGCTTTGACTCATAGTTTTTCTTATAAGACACATTGGGTAAAGAAAGTAGCACAGAGTTGAATCCCACCCAGCCCTGTTACTAAATGACTTTGTTATCTTGGGTTAGCTAACTGGCTTTTCTGAGTTTGTTAGCTACTTTGTAATATGACGTTAATTTTATCATTGCCTCACTTGACCATTCATTTATAACTTAATAAATAATTAGGCATTGAGTACCCCCTGCATGCCAGGCACTATACTAGATGCTGGTGACTCAATGGACATCAAAACCAGCCACAGTCAGTATCCTTGTGGAGCATTAATACAGTGAGAGCATAGATATTTATAAAATAACTATAAAAATAAATGCAAAATTGCAACTTTTCTATCTCCTAGGAAAGAGGCATGGTGCTTTGAAAGCATATTATAGAGGGATTTGACTTAATCAAGGAGGTATTTGAAGGCCTCCCCAAGGAAATGATAATTGAACGAAGATCTGACAAAAGAAGTAGGTGCTAACTAGGACTGAGAGGATTAAAAACAAGGCAACAGATATGAAATATGCTACTATTTTCTTACTAACATTACTGTTATTTAATAGAGACCTTCTTAGCATTTTTATCTCATCAGTGAAGTGACACTTAGTCTTATGATAATTCCAGGTCTGGCATTATTTCATAATTCCTTGTCTGGAATAAACTTTTTCAAACTTGAAGATAATATGCCCACAGAAATTCTGACTTTCAAAGTAATTGTGACCTGTGGCATCCACGGGAAAAATTCATAAAAAAAAGGCTCAGTGTAAATCATGATTATTTTACATTTTTCTTAATTTGGTACCTATTTCCCATTCTCTGCCTATATTATATAATAACTTTTATATCAACTATATTTCCCATGTTAAACCTGAATTATGAAATTCTTTCTGCATTTTATCTCATGTATTGGAAAGAAAGTTATTTCTTTTCAGCTTAATCTTACCCAGTACAAAGCCCTTGTAATAATGTACTTTATTTTTGAAGGCTTCTGACCAGTAAACTGCATACTTCAAAAAGGGACTATCTAAGCCCAATAGGCACCACTCAGCAACAAACCAGCCGATTCCCTAATACTAAGCAATTATGTAAGGACTGTCCAAACATAATAAAACAGCATTTCTCCCTCAGGGGAGGACTTAAAGGAATAGTCACCTCTTCCTACTCCTTTCATATAACATTGCTGCTTTCCCATCTGAACCGAGACTAAGTCAGCATGATTGGTTAAGCTCTTACTGAGAACAAACTGAACCCAGATGTGAATTGGGGAAGGGAGGTCAATTTTGCTTTTGGTCTTTGCAATGCCAACAGTCCAATGTTTTCAAAATTTTACAGTACCTAGCACTTTGGGCCATGTTGTAGAGATCAGGTTTATGAATATTTATTAGTCATTCTTTGGTAATTACTTTGCCATGATTTTCCAAATGGACAAAAACCTTATTTTTTTCCTTCCATTAATATAGTACTTGTGGTATGCTTGTTTGTGTTACATAAATACTAAATATTGAAAGCTAGATTTCAGTTCCATGATGGCTTAACTGAGCACTCTTTAAAATAGAGAAAATGCTAAGACACTTAATTGATGAGCCATTCTGAAGCAGAAATATTGTAATGCATCTTTTAATCTGTCTAATTTTGAAATGTATGAACAAAAAAATGCCCTGTAGGAAACAAAATGACATGAGGCAAATGTTTGACATGGAAGAGTAATATAACTGGAATGAGGTAGAATCCTTACCTCAGGTGTAATGGCTTAAATTTAGCAATTACTAGGGTCCATGAATGGAGCGGGTTCATAATCCTAAAACGTTCAGCAAGGATGAAGACATAGGTGGAAATCTGCTTACATTGAGAAGAGAAAGACTTTAAGATCAATAAACAGCACTTAGTTGAAACCACTAATGAGGTATACAACATGTCTCAGAAATCACAAGTTTATTTTGCTTTTGTGAGAAGTCAGAATAACTTGTGGCTGAAGCTGTCAGCACACTAGACCGCAGCCTTGTGGCAGCCTCTGGATTTTCTAGTGCTTAAGAAGTGTCAAGTTCCCAGAGAAGGGCAGAAGCTGTGTCATCTGAAGCATGCAGTTCATCAGCTTCATACAGGAAAACAACTTGAGATGTATCATTTTAAAGCACAAAGGATGTAACTTTATGAAAATCAATTTCTTGTTATTCTTCCACACTCTCCATACACCCACTTTTTAAAGAAAAATATGCCCTTTTGCAAAGCTGGTACTTGAAAATGTGGAATGCAGAAATTCACCCTGTTCTCTCCCTTTTCCCCCCACTTCTTTTGTGAATTGAGAAATATACTTGTCCAGATTCTTTTGGTGTATATAGCAGGGGGTGGGGGGGTGTGTAGGAATGTGGGAGGAGTGGAAATAAAGTGAAATAAAAAATTGAATTGTATTGCTCTGTTCGGCATTTAGTGAAGACTTGATGAGTCCTGGGGGTTCTTTCATTTCTCCAACTCCTCAAATTGCCATAATCCTTAGCTCTATACTTGAAACAATATGAGTGCCCTCTGGTGGACAAAATGTCATTTAAAATGTTTGTGTATATTGACTGAACATGGGTAAGTATGGAGAAAATAAGTCTTATGTTTCAAAAGTCCTCATTGAACTTCTGAAATCCATAAAAAATTAGCTTCTGATGTTCAAGCGTCGTGAAAGCAGAAAATAGTTCCATAAAATAAGAGGATAAAAGGCAAGCTGGGTGGGTACTCCTGGTCCTATTTTACTACTAAAGTAGTGTCTTGGAACTATACATAATTAGGAAGTTGAAGAGGAACTCAAATGTCTAAGGCCATCTATGCAGAGATTAGAAATGCTCTCATTAAGAAGGAGACATTAGTGAAACAACATAAGCACAGGCAAAGTCTCTAAAGATCTATGACTGTTGGCATTTGGTGGTTAAATTCTTAAAAAGAGAGAGAGAGAAAACCACAAGGGTTGTATAAACTATTACATGCCCAAATAATGCAAAAGACATAAAACAATGCAGGTCTTTGCAGTAAAGGCTTATAAAGCATGTTTTCTCATTTATTCAGACTCTATCTTCTTATTTGGAGAATGACACATTAAAGGCTGAATGCAGACTATCTGCTTATTTTAAATCTCCTTCAATTTTTGACTTAAAGGATAGCAATCTAATTTAAATTACCAAATTGGCAAAGCTGTAGAATTGTGGGCAGCGGTGTACTGACAAATGTATAACGACCGTTTCCAAAAAAGAAAGCCCTGCTTGGTAATATCTACCAATTTCCATCATGTAAATGATATCATCATGGTTTATTTAAAGCTACCAACATAACATCACTGAACATATTATTCTAAAGACATGCGCACAATTGACTTTCAGAATGAACCACTACAGTGCAGCTCTAGAATGCCACTAAATAAGAGATTTAGAATTTTTTTTTCTGTAACTTTCATAGTTTGGACCATGAATATATATTATTTTTGTAATAATGAAAGAAAAACTCAAAAGTTATTTTAAAAATTGGCCTCAACTGAAGAAATTATTTCTAACAAAAATTGTTTAATACAGTCTACAATGTTTCAAAACTTACTATGTCTCTCTTAAAAACTCTGTAATGTAGATAAAATAGATATCTGTACTGCTTCTTGACAGGGAAGGAATATTAAGTCTAAGGAGGTTTAAGCAACTTATAGAACTAGTGCTATAATTCTAGTTTTTTTTAGCTGTTTATTTATTTCCTTGTTTTACATACTAAGTGGCAAATTCACAACTGAAATTGCTGGTTTCTAATTGCATTTGTGCTTTTCATTCAACTGTGGTGTTTACTCTGCTTTAAGCAGAAAAGGATTATCTGAAGCTATCTCTTCAAGAAACTTCTGATTTTATAAAGCAACTGATTACTATATAATTCTATGCTATCACTGCTATACTCTAAAATGAGGACAAAAACCACCATCCATCCCAGCTCCCATGGACCTAGAAAACAAGAGGAGGGTCTGATTATATTTTCTATACTATCTTTTCCTTTGTGTCATGCTTTTATTAGTTCGAGCAATGCGGATAAAATCCTTGATAACTCTAATTTCTGCCAATCATCCTCATATCCTTGAACTTAAGGAACTCACATAACTAGGTTTAGTATCTTCAAGACCCCCCCAAACCACTGAGCCATGTGAAAATCAGAAGTTTAAGACAGTGAAAGGAGAACAGATTGGTGAATCAGGAATATCTTTATTTGAATATTGCTTCAGATACTTACTGTGTGACGTTCAGCAAGTCACTGAATCTCTCTAATCCTGTTTCCTCTTCTGAAAATAATAATGCCTACCTCACAGTAAAGTTGAGTACACTAAGTTAGATGGTATTGATTAAATGCTTATTAAAATACCTGACATATTGTGAACACTTGAAAAATGGTAGTAGTAATAATATTTCACAATTAATTGTTATTAAATTAAAATTTAGTAATAATTGAAATGCTTAGCTTCCTTTCAGTATTGCATGTATATTAGCATTCATTTACCCATTTCCATGGCTATCTTATCTTTCTTTCATAGATGAAAATACCACATTAGGTAAATGCAGCACTGCCTCCATGGACATGAAGCTCTTTTAGAAAACATTAATTTTTTGTTCTTAT